TAAATTTCAGGATTGGTAAAAAAATGTTTTAAACATGTTTTAAGCAGTTTAAATGCTTAATTGATGTTTTTCATCAAAATATGTTTTAAATGTTTTTTTTTATAGTACTATTTAAAGCATATTTGAAGCATTAAAAACATATTCAAGAAAAACACAATGTTTTATTCTTAAAAAAAACATTAGTCTTTACCAACTCTGATAAATTCTTTCCAAAATATCTAAACATTAATATCCGCTTGGACTAAAAATATATTTATTTCTCTTAATTAATTTACATTAGATCGTTACATCACATTATTTCAGAAGATGATTGTTCTCAGGAAATCAGCAAATTATAATACATTATGTGATTGATCAATTATAATGGTCGCGTTCAATGGAAAAAACGCTCAATGAGCGATTTTTTCCGCAGCCAATGCAATCTAAGTTTCTAATCGTAAGAAATGGAATTTGACCATTTTCACGCACTAATTACTGATTTATTATTGCCTTATGATACACTACTAACTGTAACTTCCGTTCTGTTACAAGTTACTTCCCAATCCTGAGTAGAAGTTACTTATTTATATCACAGAATATTTAAGAAACTTCATCAAAACTTTATTGATCTTCTCCGTTACAGATATCGAGATGGCGAATCGACACGGGCACACATGCCTAATGATCGCCTGCTACCGAGGTCACGTTAAAATAGCGAAGTTCCTACTCGCCCTGAAAGCAGACGCGAATCGCAAATCCGTGAAGGGTAATACAGCGTTACATGACTGCGCCGAAAGTGGATCCTTGGAGATATTGAAAATCCTTGTCGAGCATGGGGCCCAGATGGACGTGGACTCTTATGGGATGACACCACTCCTCGCGGCAGCAGTAACAGGTTAAAGCAGAAAGTTCCACGCACCACTCGAAGGTTCCCCTAAGACAGTTTATTTAGCTCCGAGGAAAAAGCGAGCGCTGACCGAACGTTTCTTCGCTTCCTCTCTTCCAGGTCACACGCATATCGTCGAGTATCTCATAGGCATTCCCCAACTGTTCAGCAGGAAAGAACGTATCGACGCACTGGAGTTGCTTGGAGCTACATACGTGGATAAAAAGAGGGATATGATTGGCGCCCTGCAGTTCTGGAAACGTGCCATGAACGAGCGGTATGTCTCCATACATGGACAGGCTGTTAATCCGTTACCGCTGTTAACCGAAAACCTTTTAGAACACTTTCTAGATAATTTTGTGTAATCAGAACTATAATCAGAACTATAAAGAATGACCTCAAAAACTAGCTTTTTTGCCAATTAATCTAAAAAAAATTTAAGATAAGTATAGAAGTAATCTTAGGGAATCAAATAGTGCTGAAAATTTTTCTGTGATTAATATTGTTTGACAATGCGATTCGAATTTCGAAGACTATAAACTGAAATTTGGGGATCTTTATAAATATAAAATATTTTATTTTTTATAAATTTTTTAAAAGAAAT